ACATCAAATGGACCTAATTGCTAAAAATAAAAGTTACTGTACAATAAAAACTAGGCATAAAGTGACTGTGTTGTAGTAGAAATTTTGAACCTGTAAGGTGAAACAGGAAAACAAGATGGTTGTGAGTGGTAAACAAAACGAAATCACTTTGTTCTGTCGATATGACAAATAACAAAAAGGTGTATATAAAGCTATGTGAGTGCACTGTAGGTGATAAACTAAAAATAGCAGACTGAACAAGTTTCTCATAGTTTATTATGAAACATTAGTCTCTGCAGTGCTGATGTATAAACACCTCACTCATCATTTGTCACTTTCCCCTGACATGTTTGTTCCTTCACTGTATATTTCCAATCAAAACTCTGTAGTGAAATGCGGCCAGAAATAGTGCCTGTATCATTTGCTCATTGTGTAAACACATAGCAACTGCCAGCAGCTATTGTGGATGAGCTCGGATATGTGCAGCAGAATGAGGCATCGATTCCCAAAGTCCGCCGGGACCCTCGGAATTGGCTTGAATCTACTTGATTTAGAAAATTCAAAACTGGATATGTTGTAATGACGACAAAAAATTTGAGTGAGAACACAAGAAGGAGCATATGAAGGCTATTCACGATAAGGGATTTTTAGAATTTTTAACCTTGTTAACGAATCCCCAACCCAGGTTTAACTACTGGGATCAATGTTAGATGCAAAAATATTTTTACTTGAGTTTAATTTGCAAAGTTTCATGGTTCTGCAGCCAGTTTAACAGGGCCAGTCTACTGTATTCCTCCTTTACGACTCACAAGGTTTTATTGAAAAGACAGGGAAGGTGACAAAATGATATACATTTTGTTGTATATTGGCTGCATTTCCAGCAGCAGGGGTGGGGTAATTCCCCCCAGAACATAAGAAAAGATGACAGGGGAGCTCAATACTTATTACTGACATGCTGAGTGTCTTTTTCTAAAGAAGCATTATTGATTCCCTGCTGACAAAAATCTGCGTGAAAGACACTTCAAAGCCCACTGGTGTGAGTCACAATTTGAAAGATGAGGCTGATGCTTGGGCTGCAAGATGTTTTAGCTGGGAGGTGAGTTGACAACATATTGATTAAAGCAACAGGTTATCTACAGTATGAGTAGATATGCACACACACACACACACACACACACACACACACACACACACACACACACACACGTGTGTAAAGTATCTTTCATATAACCACGATTACAACCACATAAACCAAACAGCTGTGTATCAGTCAGAGCTGTAAATGCAGGGCAGCCAGGGGACTGATCTGGCGTTAAACCTTGACATACCAGCAAATCAACTGACTGCAGTTCACACACACACACACACACACACACACACACACACACACACACACACACACACACACTCAAAACAAATAAAAAGGAAAAAAATAAACTTTTTTATTGGATGCCCAGAAACGGTCAGTGATCAAACTCCAACTACCAAAAGAGCCACAGTGATTTAGTGGAGCTAAAATCCATTATGGCTCCATCCAAAGGTAATGACTTCTTCAAGCCTTCCAGCTGATTCTTCAGAACAAGTGTGGGAGGGGAAAATACACACAATGTGGTCACATCAGGGGCTTTATTACAAAGCAGCATGACGTCTTGAAAGAGTCCACACTGACATCACCTATCTTTAAGTCGTACAGTATAGTAGTATCTCTTATTTCCACTGAACTACATCAACGTTGCGTATATATATGTTGGAGTTATAGTGAATGCTCAATTTAACTGTGGAAAAAAATGCAGGTGGCAAAAAGCTTTTTTCTCTGTTGCGCTGTACTGCTATTTTATCAAAAGCTTTTTTTCCACAGATATTTCATCGGTTTTTCCTCACTTCCTGACTGTAACAAAATAAATATGCACAATTTTGCTATTGCATTCACACTCATGACCTTGAATGTTTTCGGTGCTGAAGCACATCATCAAACTCACCTGCTGAACCCTGAAGTCCTCATCAATACACTGCATAGTTAAGCTGATAAGAGACACTTGGCTGGCATTGCTATGTCACTTGTAATGTTTATGAGCTTTTGTCAGTTTTACAGCTTTGTTAGTCCTCTTTCTGAGATGTGTTGATGACTGGGAATCTCCATTATGGCTCCAATATGCTGACAAGGCAACAGAATCCTGAATCATCTACAAATGGCACTGTGGAAAAGCAGCACTGGGTTGTCTCTAGACATTTTCTCTTATCTCTGCAGTATTGGCTGCAAAGCTGGTAACTACTGTTTCATTGCACGCCTGCTGTGTTTTCAGATATCTTACATAAATACACATACACATATTTCCACAATACTGTGCCTTGTCCACCTACCTGCCCCGCCAGGTAGCCAGTTAATGTTTTAAAGTGAAACGAAAGTAAATATAAGAACAAACAAATGAGCACGGTACAGCACAGTACCAGATACAGGAACTGACATCTACACATCCTTACATGGTGCTGACATTTATGCAAGAGACTAGTATATTTCAGCAATGCTAATGGTTCAACTTGGTGATTTGCTCAAGCTTCAAAGTGCTCATTTTTCCCTCACTATTACAGTCATTTATAAAACTATTTGTTATCTTGAATGAGGCAGCTAAACTTAAATTACTCTAGGAAACATTCTGACAAGAGAAAAATCTATGAGAAATGCTTTTCAAGTGTCTGAACAGAAATTGTTGAGAAATGTGTCTTGGAGCAAAGCGGGGAATCTTAACATACGGCATGAAGCAGTAAGTGTTGATGGAGAATTGCATGGCACTTAGTGATTTAAAGAAGAAAAAAAAAACCCGGAGCTGAAGTTGTACCTTCCCATCAAGAATTACCTTTCCGCTTCTCCTTGGAAAGGACTAAAACTGAATTTGAGCAACCTTTTGCAAAGAGTTGAGCATCGAGACACACTAACCTCTAAGTGTTGACAACAACATGAAGCACTGCCTCTCCTTTCAATAGATAGTAGGTATAAAATAAAGGTAACATTGTAAACCAGATCTCTGGCAGTGAGTTCTCCACTCAGATTTATATTGATTTTCTGATGCTGCATATATTAAGTTGTGAATCAAATAAAAAATGACAATAGCAACTCATACTTGGGGGCGTAAATAAATATCACACAGGTCTGCTGGGTGTAAAATACATTTCCACCTACTGAATAAAGACATGAGAAGGTTATAGTAAAGCAGAAGCTTCTTTAACAAGCAGCTGTAGCATCAATGAAATCTTATCTCGTGTAGACAAATGCAGAAGGTCCAACTGCTGTCATGCTGCATAAAAAAACCAATTGCTTTTGCTTTTATTCCATAAACCTATTTGTTAGGAAAGCTAAAAATAAAAATAAAAAGTCCCTATGACATTACAAACATGTCTATAAAGCCTCATTAACTCTGAGACTCATCCTTGATTAGAGCCAGCTTTAGGCCAGTGCAATAATTGGCATCCTCCAAATAATTGCAGCAGAGAGTTCTTTACCGAGGTAGGTAACGAACTCTAATCCTGTAAAGTGCTTAATTAAAAGGTGGAAGTGGCTAATGCTACTTACACTATACACTGTACTTACAGTGCATATGAAGAACATGCATGGTCTGAGGTGCGGGTCATGATTGTATGCAATTAGAAAATATTTGGATTAAAGAAGGAAAAGGGACAAATGCTAGAAGCTGACAGAAACAAAAAAAAATCTGGATACAGAATCTGCACACCTTGTCATAAAGTGACTCAGGAATTGTGTCTGTTCTGAGTCATCCACAAAAACAACCCACCACAAACCACCAAACACATGCAAATGCTCAGCCCATAAACTGGTCAGGAGATGTGGTTGGCTCCTGGGCAGGTCAACGCTTGAACCTGGACCAGCGGGACCTGAGCCACTGCCGCCCCCTCCTCTCCTCTCCGAACTGCTCTATACGCCTAAATCATCACTAAGGCGCCTTTTTCCTCTTCTACGACGCCAACGCTGAAGAGATAAGCAAACCTGGAGCTGAACCAAAGTGAAAGCTCAGCATGCACAAAAGCCACATTAATCCAATTGAATTCCTCATCATGATCGACAGCCCCAAGTCCATTAATTAATTCATGATCCCTTCTGTGATCGCCCTACATAGCATGCAGCGAATATACAGACGGGTCTCAAATTATGGGAAAAACTCAAATGCTTGAGCCCTGTGGTGGTTTCCAAGGGGGCATTTTGGTTGCATGCCCTCGGCCCACTTGTCTTGTTAGAAGGAAGGGTCATTACAAAGTTGTTCAGGGTGATGAAACATTTCTATTCTAATGGGAGAGGTCTTTTCCAGGATGACAATGCTGTTGATGAAAATGATGTGACTCATACGCTATAGCATTCCCTGTCACGAGACCTCAACCCAGCTGAACTCCTGTGGGAGATTCTGGACCATGTGTTAGACAGCTCTCTCCCCTACTGTCATCAAAACACCAAATGAGAGGATATCCTTTCAGAAGAATTATGTTCAGTCCCTCCAGTATAGTCCTGAAGGCTCAATCAGGAGAAGCACTGAAGCTGTTCTGGCAGCACTTTATTAAGACGATTCATGTTTGTTTTTTAATTTTTCACTTATTTGTATAAGGCCTATGCACAGTATCACGATGGCAAGTGTACTCTCCTCTAGCACAGATATTGATTTGTCTTTATGCACAGACATTTATGGATAGCACCCAGTTACATGTTGCATACAGCAACACAAAACAGTCACAAAGACAATTTATATCCGATTCCAAAGGGACAAAAAAGCATTATTATTCTAATTGAGTTCTCTTGAGGATATGACTAAAGAGCAGCAGTGGTTCAGTAAACATGCAGTAAAAAGTAGGACTTCTACAGTAGCCGCACATGTACATTTTCTAGCGAACAAACGTACTGAAGAGAAGATTAGCTGGAGGAATGGATTCTGCACAATGATGCAACTGCCAGAAAGGCGAAAAACAAAGCTAACTGTCTGCCTGACGATCTGCTTGTCTCACTATCTGTGTAGACTTACCTTTCATACCGAATTTGGAGCGCCGGCCGTATTTGTTGATGAGAACAAAAAGGACTAGGAGGAGGACGCAAGCAAAGCCCGCCAAACCCACAGCAATGGAAACCTGCAGAAAGGAGATGCTGTGTCAGATTCACGCAGCCATCAGAGGAATGTGTTCACATCATAATCCCTTCCAAATTTCTGATCACCTTAAGCAGAGTTTAAGGGACTAGATTTTGACAACTGCTTTCTTGTAGATTACACCAGTGTGGAAGAAAGTTAAAATCTGTCCTGTTTGTGATGTGTTCTGGTTGACAGAATGTAATTTAAATACGATTCTCATCTACAGCCAGACTTACTGTATGATGTGACTCTAAGTGACTACTGCTGCTGCTTTGGAAAATCCTGCTTATCCTCCTCATCAAAACCTGTTATTTTTGATTTAAACTGAATAAACCAGGATGTTTAAAAATACAGCACACAACTTCTTTTTATGGGTTTATCGTCACCTACAGGTGATGATGAGAACCACACACAATATTTGATTTTTGCTGCTCTGGATCTTTCATTTTTTTAAAAAAGTAATTGTTTGATGATTGCATTTTGTATTTTACAGTGAAAATCGGACATTACTCAGTTACAGTTTACAGTCTGGTTAAGCAATTTAACTCAAGGTCAATTAATCCATGTTTATTCATATTATGCCATTTAAACAGAACTAGAAATTTTGAAACTTAATAATTTGTTAATTAAAATCCACATAAAGATACTGTAGTTTTTGTATGGCAAATTCAATATTGAGGTAGCCCAACACTGTTATCTGTAGTCAAAATAATCCCACAAAGAGTTGTGTTGAATCCAATATAATGTTATTAGGTAGACAAAAGGTATATAACGACACTGACACAGAACCAAAATGAAACTCATGTTATACTGCATATAAATATGTATTTATCTGAACACTGTTGGATAATTTAAGTACGGAAACTGTGTGCCAGTGTGCAACACCGTTTGGCTATGAAACCCTTTGGCCAGAAGTGACCACATAGGTGAGAGTGATACGATAAACTATTGCCCAGTATGGGTAAGCTTGGTAGCCTGGTGCATCCATAGTATTTCTGGGTACATCACACTGATACATTCTAATTAGTACATATTAATATGCAAAGAGAATGCTGTAATTTCACTCATCAAAACTGGAGCATAGATGGGCTTTTAGTACAATTAACTGTGTTCCAAGCCATTATGTCTGTCAGACAACAATATGCAATAAAAATACTCGTAAAGGGAGCAACGCCACAAACACTAGCGGAGGCGCTGCCTATAACTAGTGGCTTAGTTGGCACCCACCTGTCACTCAAAGTAGTCTCATCATCAATATGCATAACGTCAAGCTTTAATGAAAATTACTAAAAAGAACAATAATGACAATAATCTGAATAAAAAATATTACTAAAATGTGAAAGGGCGAGCTATAACAAATTTCACCCCCATGTAGTTGTTATGACAGAAGAAACTATCTACAGTGACCAAAACTGTTGATAGCTGTAAAGTTGTAGGAATTGCAATTCTGTCTTGTATTTATATTTAATGAAAGAGCAACTTAAGCAAGTAGAGCAAAAAATAAAAAATAAAAATCAGAGGGTATTTCGATGGATGGTATGTGTTTTTTTAACAGCCTCTGTAGTAAAGCTATAACTGTAACATTAGGTCTAAAGCTAGGGACCACATATTTTTCTAGTTTTATTAATTTTCCCTAAGCAAAAATTCTAAAACACCATCAGTGGCAAATTTGGCAGCAAGCAGATGTAGCAGCAGAGACGCAGTGATGTTACTGCAGGGTTTTTTTGATTACAGATACTTGAGCTGGTCATTGCAGGAAAAGTACGGGCATAATTACCGCTAACAGTGTGTCGCTTCCATTAGGATATGACAGGGAAGCATGGATGTACAAGTCCCGGAAACTTTCCACCTCAATAACAGCAGCCATTATTGATGTTATTGGAGTTTCTGCTAGCACATGTCAACATGTGTGCTATTAAAAAAGTCTATTAAAAGCACATTATTGAAATCCAGTGGAATAACTCACCAGCACTGGTTTCAGAAACTGTACAAAATCCCCACGTTAAATAACATTTCAAAACAGCATCATCCACTGCAGGATACCATCATCAGCATCATTAAAGTCCAAACATATAACTCTGACTGTAACATTGTTTGCTGTGTTGTAGCCTTTGAAGCTCAGCGCTGCATGTCAAGGCAAGCAAATAGCCCTGCAAGGGGTCTTTGACAAATAAAAAGTAGTTTATGCTTGTGTTGAAACACACATCAGCTTTCTGCTGAGACCAGGGGCCCCATCTTTAGCAGCTGTTTCATCAACATCATTAAGGAGAAAACTCACCCCAAATGTATCTTCGTCTGGTGGTCTTGGATGTGGCGGCGTAACTGCAACACAGAAGCACAAAAGCAGACATCAGTGGCTGTGGTAGGAAAAAAACACTCTAATGACTGCAGTTTACTGCAACAGTCCTTTTAAAGTAAATATGTATAATGATTTTACACTTCATACTGTGTATTCTCAGGGAAAAAAAGTACAAAACAGCGGATAAAAAAGAATAAGCAGTTTTTTTTAATCTGCAGTGGTGTTATTCCACTGCATGAACCTGTTTATGCACCCGTTATCACACTAAATAGGCGAAACATTTACACGGGTTAAAGCACAGCCTAACAGACTCGAATTAGGTGACCTGATGTGCTCTCTAGTATATATAATTGAGAGCATATTTTCAGTATCTCCATGAAGCCAAATGGTGTGATTAATGTTTTCAGATGGGTCTCACTGCCAGCTGAAAATATCCATTTGCAGTTTTCTCATTTGTGTGTGTGTTTAACATAAACTGCTGGAAATAAATAGTGTACAAATGTTGTGCCTCAAAACATAAACAGACTTTGCCCTCCTTTTAGAAGCATTTTGACACAAGCATGAAGCGTGTCGCCTTCACTTGTTTGATCCATCAAACATTGCTAGAGACAATGTCGGCGACCAGAGTGTGTGTGTGGTTTTTTTTAATATAAATTTTGTGGTGTTGAGTTAAAAGTCTGTAGAGGAACAAATGCATATTCAAATCTGACACCTGTCACAAGTTTCCTACCAAAGCCTGAAATTTGCCATCCAGTCAGACTCAAGTCTCACATAAAAAGTAACAAAAAGACATTGTGAGTTTTTAGAACAGTTGAACAAAGACATGGTCGTGCTTGCACATACGAAAGACAGAATAATTACAACAAGCTGCTTAGCAATTATACACAATTATACAAGCAGAAAAAAAATCAAAAGAAGGTAACACAATATTGACTGACAAATATTAAATCAGGTAAAATGAAATCAGCTGAAAAGGGCACAAAGATTATATAGCCGCACAGGACGTCAATTTTCTGTTGTACTCAGCTCAAGCTGCAGAAATCTGCGGTCAGCAGGACTAATTTCTTCATGTTTAAATACTAGATGTTGCACCTATACACACAAGAGTTTGGCATAGAGAGTGTCATGAGACAGAGCCATGAAATGAAATGAACTTGTGCTCTAGTCTGAGGCTTCCAGCCAGGACATCAGAGAGTAATTGTGGGCAAATTAATGGCCACATGGTAGACTGGCTGCTACTGGCTCAGACACACTGAAGTGCGAGTGTGTGTGTCCTAACTACCATCTCCCTCCAAGCCTTCATCCCTCTCTCCTCTCCTCCCTCTGCCCTCCTCTCTCCTCATCACTGTTAGTATCAGCCAGCCTGTCAGTCTCTCTTGTATGGCTGAACTCCCTCGCGCTCTGCTGCCATAATGTTTCACACTCTAAACACCTCTCCCTCACCTGCCTCACTCCCAGAAGCTGCGTGACTGTGTGCATGTATAGCAACGTGATGTCGCCGCCTGCCTCATGCAGCTCGCCGCAGGGTCAGCATCCATCCGTCTCCATCTCTGGCCATGCTGCAGCTTTATAATACATTCCTGATTAGAAAGAATGGCCTCATATGGAGATGGAAGAAGATGCTGATGAAGGTCAGAGATCAGGCGAGCCCACTTTGTTTAACAGTGAGACGGCCACAACAGCCTGAGGCCAGGCAGCACATCGCACATCGGAGATTTATGATGCAGCGAGAGTGGGCCGAAACCATTGTTCCAGCAATATGACTGCATTTACACTACACTGCTTCCCAAACAATCGCACATCAACAGCTAACAGGGTTGGAAATTCACCTGCTTACACTGTTGCTGGTTATTTTTTAAAAACTGAATTATCTATAAGACTATCCTTTTTTTACTTACTGAAGTGTGCCTATTACAAATGTTTTTATTGTTATTTTCTGGTTTTCATGCCCCAAACTGTTTTCTACTATGGGAGGAAAGGTCTAGAACAGGGTTATCAAACATAAGGCTTGTGGGCCAGAATCGGCCTGGAAGAGACTCCAATCCGGTCCACTGGACAGCTTTGAAAAATGTGAAGGAGGGTATAGATTTTGGACTTTTAACTCTGTTTTCATAAGTTTTGCAGCATTTCCTACTGATAAAGTGGTAAATCTGGCCCCAATGAGCAGAAAAACTCACTATGACAGTGCATGTAATGTTTGGGAATGTAGGAGAAAAACCAAAGCTTCCTCTGAAATATCAAATTTCCTGTAATAAAAAAAGGCAGAGAAGTGTCTGCTGAAATTTGATGGCATGAACCACTGAGAGACAGCTGTCCTGGTTTAGAGACCCAACTAACAGTAACATAAGACATGGGTGTGTAAAGAATCACGTATTTGTTTAGTGTATAGAGTGATCATTAACCATGTAAAATGAAATTGGATTTTTTTTGTCTGGGATCCATGATTTAAATAAGGAAGATGATAATGCCATCTGACATTAACAACACAATCAGAAAACTGAATAGCAACACAAAGTGAACAAATTTCTCCACTGTTACCGAGTCAGTTGTGCTCGTCAAACACAAGCAGTGTGTGTGTGCGCACATTTACCAAACAAACAGGAAAAAAACAAAGCTGAACAAAAATTTGACAGGCTTACATTTGAAAATAGACACACTCACCTTCTTCCACCGGGTCTGCAAAAGAGAAGACAGAAAAAGTCACGCTATGTCAATAAATTGACACAAGGTATTAACCTTGCAATATTGACCATAAGGAGAAATTTGCCAGTCTTTGTGGGTTTAGGCCCCCTCCCTGTGAACTCAGCACGAACCGCAAGTGAACAATCTACCTGACTGAACTGTGGATGAACCCTGGCGGCTGTAAAACCAGCAGGGATCAACCGTGCAACCTGTGCCCTGTGAAGGAAGATTTTAATAAAAAGTAAATGCTCCCGACAGAATTTCCAACAGCGACGCAACCTGTGAGTCATACAACAGGTAGTTAAAAAAGAAAAGCAATCCAACAGTGATGCTCACTCCCAAAAAGTGGGCCGAGCCAGCTCTTAAGGGAATCGGAGAGTTACTTGGCAGCATTTTATTCTTTCCTCTTTGATTCTTATTTAAATGCAGAGGAATGAAGAAAGGCAATGCACAAACACTGAGCGCTACTATCATTTGTATAAAGGCCTTTTTCCCATGCGTTCACTATCAGTGCTGCCAAATGCACATCACTTGCCACCTAGAACGAAATGTCTATAAAAAGTTGTTATCCATTCACCTGGCTCATCGGGGTTCTCGAGGAAGTGACCATACACCGTCTTGGTGACCGTTCCCAGAGCGTTGCTGGCCTCCAGGGTATAGTTGCCATTGTTGATGTGAGTTGGGTTCTGGAAGGTCAGACAGCCCTCGAGATAGTCCTGGTAGAAGTCCATTTCGGTCCGGATGTAGTCATTTTTAATAATTTCCTTCTGTTTGTGGAACCAGCGCAGCTGGGGCTGGGGGTAACCCCGAACCGTGAATTCAATGCAGGTATCAAGCCGCTGCTCAGGCTCAGCCAGTCTCAGGATGACTGGAGGAACTGCAGTGGGAAAGGAGACATTTGAAACAATGAACGCATACCTACACACATTCACACATGAAGGAGCAGATCAAAAGTTATTTGCTTATTAAAATCCTCATCAGTCTGCCTGTTTGGTGTTTGACATAATACAAGCCCTATATGCTGAGAAATTTCCACAGCCCTTGGGGTGGTGAAAACCTGTACTAATTCTCTGAATAACCGTAAAAAAATACAGCAGCATACCAAACAGCGCAGGCTTGTTCTGGGGAACAATGACATTTACAGGCAGGTTTCTTGCCTGGGAGTGGCAATGAGCCTTTTACTGGGTGCTGCATGTTGCAGAAGTACATTGGATTGGGTGAAGAACAAAATATATAGAAGGTCTCTTCGGGCTTGATATAAACTGAAAAATTTCCTCTGCTTAAACAAGCACAGAGCTCCTCTTTCCTGACATGCAGCAACACACCTCTGAATCAACAATGCCGCCAAGCTGAGAGGCACTTTGTCACTTTAATATCATCAGATACATTTCATAAACAATTCACCCACTGATTTGTCTACGTAATGAGTGAATTTTGCTACTACAGAATTAAAAGGAAATATTTGGCAGTCAGTATTACCTGGCAGTGCCTCTCTGTCACCTCCACCGCTCATACGCACACGCATTCGTGATATCATTGATAAACCTATTTATTCAATTAGATCAGGGTTGCAGGCATGATTTAACGCGGTCATTCAGCCTCACCAGTGAGTCTCCACCTGCAGTTTCACAACCGAGAGTGAGCAGTTTGTCACTGCGATCAAAGAAAGTGATTGCAAAAGAGAGCTGCTTGTCAGATTGTCAACATGTTCCAGAAATTCCCTACCCCGACACTCTCCTAGTGTCAGAAATAGCGTCAATTCGTGTAGCTTTCTAAGACGGTCAATCTGGCTTTCACACCCACTCCATGTCTTGACTGGCCAGCTGTGCGAAGGTGAGAAAGTAGGCATGGGTTTAAACTTTTCTCTCTTTCTTATTTCTTACACAATCATTTCTGCTATTTTTCATGTGCAACACTGAGGTCAACACTATGGATCCGTTCCAAGAGAGACTGAGTCTTATCTATATCCACGTAGTAATACTTTGTCTGCATCTCTGTGATGGTTGGCCATCCAGTGATGATTTTGGAAGAGCTAAAAACGCATTTGAGCGTAACACAGCTGTAATTGTAAACACTGCAATCATGCTTAATTATTAGCAGTAATACACTGTGACTAATTAATTTGAAATGCCTGCCAGATAAGCTGATAATAAAAGTTACTGTCACTTTCAGCTCTGTCACTGATAGCTCATGTTTTCAATCCAAATGATCGCCCTTTAAAGACTTGAACAAACTATTTATTGGTGTGTGAAAGCCGTCATTTAAAAAAAATTGCTTTGGTGACAGACAATAGTGACAATGAAGTCATTCAACTGAACTAAAGGCTACGGCTTGTGTATGTGCGAATGGGATGGTGTGGGGGCGTGTGCAAAGCTGTGATTTTGAGTGCAACAAGAAAAGAGAACAGATGACAGTAAAGAAACAGAGGAGGAGGAGGAGGAGGAAGGAGTGAGGGTGTCTATAGAACTATACAGCCTAAAGAGAGAAAAAAACAGACAGAGAGGAAGAAAAAGAAATTTTCTTGTTGATGGACAGTTAGTGACTGATCCATTTTCCCCTCAGCTCGGCTGTCAGCTCAGTCTCGGTCAATACAATATAAGTCATTACTGTGCCACATAGCAGTCTATAACTACATGGTGTCCTCGTGGTGCTCATACAGATGACAAGCTTTGATAACTACATGCGTTTGATCAGCAAGAACATTGAATACAAGGCTAGTTGTAATGTTATCTAGTGGTAACACTGGTGGTGTATTTCAAATGCCATGTTCCAGCCTAACTACAGATACGACATCGTGGCTGGCGGTGACAGGGGAGGCAACAGCTTCGTGGGACAGATATTGCTTCATATTCCCCGGGGCTAAAGCCCATTGCGATTAAGTTTAACCTGTTAGAAGCAGCACCTGTACATGTAGAGTCACAGCAGGGATTCAATCACATAATTTCCCCATTAATTATCCTTAATTAGAGATTACGCCCTGCTCTACCTGTACAGCTAATGAGGGAGCAGAGCTACTAATACAGGTGTAAATTAGTGCCATACTCTTAATAGAGAGCTACACTTTGGCTACGGCACTAAAGGAGGAAAACATGTGAGTCCACGCTGCTGTAGAGCAGCTATTGTTCCACACAGCAAAAGAACAATGTGCCTGCAGAATTTGCATTGTGTTTAATTACGGTTTCACTAAAATAGGGAACTCATCTTTGAATGCAGAGAATGTCACTTGACGGCTGGTAATTTCGCTGTCAATCAGATTACTCCCTAATCAGAGAAGCAGTTTAAGCTATTTTATGACATTTCCAGAGACAATAGGCTGCACAGGGGAGGAAATGTAATTACCATCAGAGCATGTGGTGAAAAATTAATAAGTTAATTTGCAGCACCAGCAGAGTGTCAACAGGAGAGAAAAAAAAAGCCTGGGGATGTACATCCATAGACTGTCCATGTGGAGGAAACCCTGAAGACTACATGGTACAAAGTCAATCTGTCATTCTAGCATGGTCCTTAGCAAGCTCTGCTCCAGTAGGGAGTGTTTGAATTGGTGACAAATCTCCCCTGTCCTGTAGCATGATGCATCGCAAACAGCTACAATAGATTGAGTTCTACAAGAGGAGGCTTGCTACAAAGAGAAGGATGTCAGGCACCTTTGATTAATACTGGCTTTGAATACACTGTCCCAAATCTGCCCGGGGCCAATCCACTGGGTAAACTTATGTAAGAGCTCAAGTATATACTGTAACTCATGGTTGGGATATTAGAAATACGTTGGAGTGGTTACCAAATCATTGCTTTATCATAGCTGAGGGTGAGACTCCTTTCTCCTTTTCTTTCCACTCAGATCAAGGCAGAGCTTTCATGTGGGCTGGAGGGTACATTCTTGCTAATTAGCTACATCAATTTCACTTGGTTTGTAGCTGTGCAACACCTCATTGCATTCTAAATGTACCTGCATAATTTGGCTGTTCTGCTTGATAAAGAAGTTTTTTCCCCCCTGTTTTAAATTATTCTCTCAGACAGTCAGTGTCATTAATACATGATATATTCTGTCCCCAACATAAGCCCATCAAAGCTGCCATGAAAGACATTTTATGCACAAGAAAACCACCAAGAATTCTTGGCTCCAAGCATTCATACTGCCCACACTTGATTTAAAGTTTTAATTAAAATGAGATATTTTATAGAGCAATTTATTATATTTTTGCGTTTTGGCTGATTGAGCATCAGAACAATTCCACATATCTTTGCATTTTTATTAATCCACAGTGTTCGGCTAAGGAACTCCTTTTTCAAAATGTATAGGCTCATATTACATACATTTACTGCATACATATACATTTAATGCTTACATTTATTCATTATGTCTTAAAAAAGATAACAAGAGCAGTATTACATGTGCTATACACTTATTAGTCGCTACAATTTTAGGACTGGCACAGAATTTACCATCACATCGACTATTATGTGCTATAAAGTTTCTGCAATAAAGCTGCAAACAGTTCAAATGCCATTTTATCGCTGATACTTTGAAATTTTCTATCTTTTAGTAAACTGGATTATTAATTGCACCAAATCTCGCAGATTTTTACCAAACCATGACAGTCCCCAGACAAGCTGATGGCCTCCAGTGTAGATAAACCACTTGCACAGTGGTAGGTAACAAGATTTCATTCCAAGTAATCACTAAACCAGCAGGCTTTACTGATTAATGTCTTCAACAACAGAGCAACATAATTCCAAATTTTAAGCATCTGAGTCTTGGTTAGAAGATCCATGACAAGTGAGGAAATAAAATTTAATAACCAAGAAACAACTACTGAGGGACACAATACAAATGTTATGGTGACTTCAGTCAAGTGTTAAGTATTCCTGTTATAGCTGGGTTAATTGGGGTTGTTTCCCTCTAACTGAGCAAACAACATGATAGATTAACATTTTTTTCAGCCATGCTAGCAGCATGGCTTTGGGCTCACCACTTGTGTCCACACGAAAATATCTCATCGACTACTGGAGGGATGATAATAATTTTTTGTACAAAAAGAGTACTGCTGAATATGATATTTCCCAAATCTTTCATCTTCTGCAATCTTCAGATGGAAATACATTCTGATTTCTTAGAAACTGACAACTGACATTCATGTTCCCCTGAAGATCATATAACAAATTTTTTCCATTTTAGTTTGCTTTTCCAAACATCCCCATTCTCATCGGACGCTCTTTGTCTTGACAGCTGATTATGGAAAGTTAGCATGCTGCCACAGTAACAAAAACAATCAAAAACTGTGAAACGCTGTCAAAACTTTAGCAGGTTAAAGTTAGCTGCCAAAAAGGTTGAAGGCTCTTATACCATGTTTTCATCTAGTACTGACATGTTATCTCTATGTAGAGAAATTATCTGGATTCCAGCATTTGATTCATGGTTCTTTGCATTACAACTTATATTCTGTATGTTGACTGACTTTACGGATTTTAATTATCTGCTAATCCTTAATATTTACAACCATATCCATTTCTGAAAAAGCATAAAGCTGATTATGGTTAGACTATTTTTTTTTCCCGCAAATGCAATTCCTCTTCTGCTCTCCACACAGACTGTTTAACGGCATACAAACCCTCTACTCAAGTGTTATTGGTCAAAATTACTCAGACTAGTGGACTAAAAACATAAACAAGGAAGCTTAAGGTACTATTTTTTACACCTTGCCTACAGATTCTGTATATTCATATGCAGATATCTGCTTATTGAGACTGCACCGCTGTCTCTCGCAGGTGTACAGAATGGGTTTGTTGCAGTGTTGTATTAAGATTTGCCCAAAGAAAGATTATAGCAGTACTGCCTGTTACCCCATGCATGTGTCGTTCCTAATATGCGAAATATGGGAGGCAGATCATTGATTGGATCAGGAGTTAATCAGATGTTGTGACCCCATTTAAACTGTAGTGAAAACAATAACCAATCAGGCAGAAATTCTGGCAGAGTTAGGTGACCTGTCAACTTACAGGGTAGATTTGATTTCCTAAGAGAAGAGGCCATGCTTTACAGAATACTTCTACATTTGGCTTAGATCCGAACACAGTGAGAGCCTGAACACCTCCAATTTTTGGACAAAACTTCAAGCCTTTAGCATTTGTTTCAGTTAAATGATCTGGCTACAGATCTTAATAACTGAAAATGAAAATTAGTCAGCGTAAAAGAAAATCAGCATGTCTTTTCACTGTAGCAACACATTTTCCTTAACATTTGACATAAAATCACTGCAAATTGAAAGCAAAGGCTTAAAAAAAGAATTAAAACAGCCCTTATGCTTCTTTTTTTTGTTAATTGCTCTATGTTCTTGTTGTCATTGTTTACTGGTAATATTTTTCCACAGTGTGCACACAGTATATTCATCTTTTTTAAATAAAAACTGAATGCAGTTGTGATTCTTAATGTCCCACCATTAACCTCGATGATATTAAACATAAACAGCCATGCAGATTATGATATTAGTCAAACTAATTAGTCATAATAGGCAACTATTTTATTACAACATACTTACCTTCACTTAATATGGGCAGCATTAATATAGACCATGAATGGCAAAGCACTAAGGCAATAATTTTCTCTTTATGCATTAATGCAAATGTGCATAAATTAATGTGTCAGTGTGTTTACAGTGGGGCTAAAAATCTCCTGCTACAGTGCCTGGACGGAGTTTCAATAGTATTTAAATCACAGGAAGCGTCCAACTTACACTGTACGTTGAGCTGGATGGAAGAATTGGTCATCCCCACCACGTTCTCTGCGATGCAGGTCAGCTGGAAGTTGTTGTCATCTCGGCTGATGTTGAAAAGAGTGAGGTTGATAGAGTGGATGTTGGGCCAATATACGTTTGACTAAGGGAAAAGTGTGAGAGGCACAGAGAAAACAGAGGCATTTAGGTACCTGAAGGATATACTGTACAGCAAATACCATTATACCAGTGGGTTTTAAATCTTTAATTACTTAATTAAAATGAAAGTTAATTATTCATTAGTTAAATTCCTGTGGAAGGAAACGTAATAAAGTCAAGAACTACTTGATACCTGTGGGAATTAATCACTTCCCTGTCTGATTTCACTGGCATAGATCTAGCATAGCAGGAAGAATGTAAAGAGCAATATTATAAAATTTTGCAGTACCTGGACTAATTACCACCCTGCTTTTCACCGTTAGGAATCTAATGGTGAAAAGCAATCATGCTTCCTTTCTTGCTTTTAGTTGTTCAGGCTCTTACTCCCAAACACTTCACTCATCCCGAAACAGCATCCTTCTACCCTAAAACATCAAGCCTGAGGCTGAAGTAGCTTTCATCTGTAAAGTCACTGCAAGCATTAAAGACACAGATGACAAATACAGTCACACAGCAATTTCAGAGACTCCTGTTCTTTTCTTCTTGCTGTTTATCTCTGCAGTTGTTATTGCTGCAACGTCCCTGGGGCCTTTCTCGGGGAGCGAGATTAGTCGGCTAACAGGCTCACCGTGGGTTCAACCCAGGCCTCTCTGTCACAAAAAAGTTGTTTGTTTTGAGCAATTTTGATTTTTTCCCCCCCCAAATCTGATAACCTTTACTGCACATCTAATCACAGAATCATAGGTTAATCTTGGACCTGGTAAAAACAAAAAGTCTATCCACATAGTAAACAGTTTTAGGTTTCCCTGTCAACATCATCTAAATGCAAAGACATTATTAGCAGTGAACCAATCAGATTGTTAAACTTGTTCCTGTTTCTTTGTTATACACAGAATATATAGAAAATTGTAGATGATTTATCTTTAGCCTATTTTTTTGGTTCTTCAGCATTTGCTTAAAATTTATCTGAAACTTCTGTCAGGGCAATGAGTCTTAGAGCTTAATCCTACAAGAGTGTGCGCTTACTGACACCTCAATTTACCACTGAGGCCTTTCAAGGTGAACTACATACCTGAACTAATTTTGTGTTACAAGTAATTTATGAATCTGAAGCTCCGATGTGCATAAAATACAATACAAGCACCAATAATTAAAGTATAGAAAATGTAAAAACACAGTTTAGTGCAATGCAAAACAAAATATGAGGTGTAGCAGTGAAGGAGAAATCAATCATTAGATTGTGCTCAAAGAATTAAGTTATCATAATGAGAATTAACAGGATTATTTCAGCTTAATAACTGTATATTAGCCTGAAGCAATGTTTGAAAAGCAGGCAAAAAGAAAAACATTTGTTGGTGTAAGGCAATGTAATTAATTTAAAAAAAATCTTTAATATGTTTGCTGTTTTTAGTATATATGCATGTCTAACCAGATGTGTGTTGATGGAATGCAGGCCGCTGACAGTCCAGTCTACTTCAGGCAGCGGTGATCCGGATCCGTTACAGCTCACCGTCACATTGTCACCCTCCATCACCAAAACACTGCTGTGGCTCACACTGATCTCTGGTAAGTCTGAAAACATACACGTATACACGTTACTGCACGCCTGTCGCCATCGGTGTCTACATACTTTCACACCAAATCAATTAATCACTTTTCATTAATGTAATAAAATTAGTACAAAGGAAGCAGCGGGACACACATCCAGATACAAACACTCACACGCTTGCACAGTGTCACAGGGATGAGTCACCGCCAGGAGATAATACTGCAGAGACTCCAGCCTCTGTCAGAATCAACACACTGCTCCTCACATCAGATTCACCCTCTGAACTCTGTCACACCTCCTCCCTTTCCTGTCTCAACTACTCTCCTTGCTTCTCTTCTCATTCCTCTAATTCACCTTTAACCCCTCCCTTCCTTCCCCTGCTTTCGTGTTGCTTTGTCGTCAGCCAATCTTCTTTTTTCTGCCTTACTCCTCTTCTTACCACCCCTCCTCTGCTGCTTCTTCTTTCTTTTTTATTTTTTTTCTCCTTTCTAATCACAGATCTCACCTTTCCCTCCTCCTCTTACACTTACCACAGTTGTGGATGTACATGTTCTCCAGTCGTATCTTGGAGGCTCCATTCCTGCAGTACAACTGCTGTGTGTTAAGCTTTGCTTCTCCTCTTTGATGCCACAACTGGATCCAACGGATGTCACAGCCGCAGTCGAACACCACACCATCCAGACGCCTTAAAAATAAGCATAATTAATATCAGTAACAGACAGAATAAAACACACGGTGAGCAGTTACAGCAATATTACAACAACATAAAGAGCCTTAACAACAACATGAAAGCAAAAAATGTATTATTACACAAATAGCAGCTAATGTTGCTAATGTTTTTTCACATGTGATTTCCACTGAAAATAGCAGCAGTACCAGAAACAAAGAATATATAGCATGCATCTTCCCGATATATTAAAATACACCAAGTGTAGTTCACAGAAACACAGATGTATCCTTACACAACTTTACAACTATGACACTCACAGACAGACAAATGTAATTATCACAGCAGTACAACTGAATTATCTGCAGTGGCTTCGTGCTAAAATGGTAGCCTGCTGCTCAGGAGTGAAGTTAAATATTTTTAGAAGTGTGAACAAACCAGAGGTGTTTAAGGTGTTTTAGTCAGGCAGTGCAAGCACAGGAAGCCCAAATGTTGCACATATTTTAAAATCATTCAATAAAGATAGAACTTTGCACATGCGATACGAAACACTAGCAGCCAAAAACAAATACTACAAAATCATAAGAGAACTTGAATTACTATAATTTTAGCAGTCATTATTTGTGCTTGTGGTTTATAGTAAAAAAAAAAATCTATGTAGGGCAGGAAAGGGTTATACATATCCCAGAAAGTAATCATTTTAAAAATCAATGGTAAACCTTCAGTTCCTGTCACCGGAGGTAAAATGCATTACTGCCAAGCTCTGCATGAGCAACAAGGCTTCAGGCAATACAACTGCATGCAAGGAAAACGAGAGGAGCATTTTTACCACAATCTCAATCTAATCAGCGAGCAAATTAACATCAATCACAGATCAATTGATAGCGACTGATCAAACAATATCCACCACAGATGTACCTTTTCTAATGTTTTGTAAAAGTCAAATTAATTTGAGTCAGCAGACAAGAGGAAAAACAACGAATGGCTGTACTGAAGGATTCAAATGTGAGGAGGTCAAAGGTCACAGCAGTGTTCCGGCTATCAGTCTCAGGCTGCATTAGCGTCAGACAGGTATCACGAGGTTCCACTGTGCATACGTTTCAGTCTCACAGACGGGTGCACCAAAGGGCCACATTATTCAACACAGTATGCCACCTCTGCATTTTGCATATGTCCAATTTGGAAGCTGTGATTGGTCAATTTAGTCAAGATGAATGCCTGTCCAAATGCCCTTGACAAAGGTCAATAAGATATTGCAGAAAGCATGAATAATGTATGGACTATGTCTACCACTCAGTATAAAGTAATGAGAATAGATTCCCACAGGTGGATCTCAGTTATTATCACCTGCCCACTGGATCTTATACTGTATCACTATATGTCACTATGTGACAGCTAACTCACTGAGCCCACTGGTCCTTCCACCGCACCAGCCAACTGTAAACTTAATTTCCCTTTAATTACAGCAGCAGAAAACCTATTCAAAATATTAACACTTATTAGCAGTAAACATATATAATTATATTTGACATTTTTATCATTATACTTTTACATATAAAAAAAAATGCTAGACGGGCTATTTTTCCCCAATGTGTGATAAAGTAAGAGTGAGAAAGGCCACAGGTGAATTAATTCATTTAATACTGTACAATGCTGCCAAGCTTTGTTGTTGAGAAAAGTCATATACTTAAAATTTACTAACTAATAATGTCACTTTCATTACAGTTATTAATTTGATTATTAACTGATATTTCAAATCAATATTTTAGTGTATTTTATAAAATACCACTGTTGAGGTGTTTAATGACATGTTAACGTTTACCCACTACTACCACGGATGGCTGCTGGTTACATTTACCATTGCAGGTGTACCTTTTTTGTTTTTTCTTGATTCAATTTCTATGTGGAACGTTTGAAGGGAAGATTAAGTTGCAGGATTTTTATCACTTATATATTCAGCTAAAAAAAATAAAAAATAGTACCAAATATATATTCATTCTGGAAAACTGCTATGCTTATGAAAGAGCCTTCATCTGGTTCCCTTCCAACATGAAAAACTGCAATAAAAAGGAACTTATAGGATATTCATACATTTTACCACTGCAGGTTTGCTCTCAGCTAACATCTCGAGCAGAAAATCTATCTTTCTTACTGAAGCGATAAGACAAAGTACTCAAACTAAGATGCCAAGAAGATTATAAATAAAATTAAATTGATTGTATTCACTTAGATGTTGATCTTCGTTTACTGTAAGATGTTTTATTTAATGGTGCTTTTCTTCCAACAAAATTACTTTAGAAAAATTCAACAGCTTATAAAGGCAATTCTAAACTCTAAGGACAATAACCGCCTCAGAATCACAATTCGAACTGTAATACAAACCATAGCTCGGATTTCTTTTCAGGACACATTTAGGGAAAGACAGGTACCTCCCCACATCATGGTGCTGAAGAGAATTTCAAGGTTAAAGGTTTTCATTTAACGCTGAGCAAGCTGAACCACAAGGGATCAAAGCTCACCAGAGTCGGGCGGCTGAGGCTTTCCCTCTTGTACTGTAATTATGGTCATTATTAACAAGAACCACCACCTCAATACATTACCCACTATTCCTCTGGGTAAAGCTGATCGGCGCCTGTACAGATACAGCTGAAAAATGAGGGATGTCAAACCTAAATGGGAAAGCAGAAACCCGGCATTTCAAATGTGTGCCCAGCCTGTGCACTACAGTAACAAAGAACCATTTGAGTTTAGAGTGCTCCCATCTAAACAAGCAATAAGACAACAGGAAAAAAAAAGAAAGCAAACTGACAGCTGGAAGCTGATACATGTCTGAAGGAGAGCAGATTAGACTTAGAAAAGAACAAAAGCAAACAGCAGTGTGACCCCAGATATAGAGAGCTAACAGCATGGCGTTTCCTTCAAGCTGGCTAACGATCCACCCTGCTACTCCAGAGAGGAGGTAATGATCACCACCGGAGGCTGTTTTTCTGGGAAATGTACACACAGGTGCTTTAGCTGAGGAGCTGTGGATCACAAGCAATGATAAGCCATATACTTCATTGTTGTTCGCGTGCTTTGATCTCAGCTTGAATGCACTGCTTCCTCTCCTTTTACTGGAGGAATTATTTTAAGTTTTTAAATCCTATGTGTTTAATAAATCGCCTTATTTGGCTTATTTTTACCACAGTGCTGAGCTGCTGGGTTTGACTAGGTGTTGTTGTTCCTGGCTTTGTGGTAATTCAGTACAAAGATGTTAGTCTATAAATGCTCGGGTTACCGGTTTAACTGGCTTTTGCTTACTTCAGCTACAGATGTTAATGTCTCCAAGAAGAAATGCAATATTTAGCTGACTTCTAGCTAAACCACTTTACTGATAACAAAATAAAATGGCTGAGTGGAGGATAGTATGAGGGTATTTACGGTAACAGTTATTGCCATTTGGATGCCTTTTTACCATAAAACGGTAAACTGTTACAAGACATGCCAAACAATGACCCTAAAACTTTTGTCTTTGGAAGGACGCAAACATGTAGGACTAACATACCTAGCTCTGTTATATCTCAAGTCAGCATGAGTACTGCTGCATACAGTGCAGTGTAACCATCACCTCCAAACACTCGAGTACAGAACACTGTACTCCTCAGTGGTTAGTATCTTGGCTACATAGTAGAAAACAAGCGACAAAAAGTATTTGGTCAGTAGGAGGAAGATAACATGTTGATGCCACTCAAAGCTTGTTTTCTTGTTTGTTTGTTTTGTTAACAAGGCCTTGTATTGTTCATGTACTGCATTTTGGTATTGTTTGGTGCGTGTGCAAGATGGTGGTGTTGATTCAGTTAAGGAATCTAGTGAAATGTAGCAACGCAGTTTTTGAGTCATTTCAAGTGATTTTTGCCAGATATCAGAAAAATTACATTATAATTTACAGCATAGTATACTGAATCTAGAGTATACTAAATGAAGTATCTATATGAGATGGAGTGTTACAGCTACTTCTATGGAAATAAAAGTAAGTATGCTAGGTTACCTCAGAAAAGCATTTTTCATAAGCTGTGTGAATGTTATTATGCAGTATTGTTGGGGTTTTTTTTGGGGGGGGGGG